AGTAAGTTAAGCTATATGGGTACAAATGTGTACTAGTGAAAACTTATACAAATGTGTACGAGTGAGAACTTAAAGTTACTGTAGGCAAGATTTTGTCATTTATTTATACAATCCAAAAGCTTTGGGCTCAGATTTAAGACCAAGCAAAAAAAAAAAAAATTCCGCACCGCCGCTGCGGCCTGTCGCTGCCTTGGAGCTAAATCAGTCTCATCATGTGAGAATTTGACCAGTAAAAGGACACTGTAGCGAGAAAGAGAGAGAGAAAGCTAGCCTCATTAGCTGTTCCTAATATGTCTCTTTTACACCAAACCTCATTGGAGAAACTTCTAGCATCATCAGTACATTGCTATGCCATTAGCCCAGGCACAAATTTAGACAAATACAGAGGCTGACTTGAATAATCTGTGTCATCTGCACACGCTCGGAGAGTCTGCACTTGTTACTGTTATTACCAGAGTCAGTATTTTAAGGGTCTACGACAAACGCAAATTTGTTCGGTTTGCTACCGACGCCAGGCCGTTCTGAACCACCGAGTCACATAAACCAGGATGGCTGCGATGAATCAGCGCCGCTAATGCGGTGACTCATCAGACCAGGCACTTGACATCGAATAATGTTTGTTAACAGGTCACTAACTACCTGCAATTAGTCTGAATCCAGAAAACTAATTAGGCATTCCCATTCTAATTAAGAAGGGTTGCATTCTGGGGGGTTGTTGTTGTTTGTTTTTTTTAACCGTTGCAAAATTTAAATTCCAGTGCAGCGGGAACAACTGGTTTTAATTAGAGACTCATTTGTTTCAGGATAGAGTGATTTTAGGTGCGGTTTTTACGCCTGCCTTACAAAACCAAAGGTCATGGGTTCGATCCCCGTGATTAAACAATAATAATATTTTGTTTTGTATTTGTACAGTTGTTTTTTTTTCCCCCACAACATCTTATGGTGACTAAGGCACCGTCAACAAATATACCCCTGCGTCTTTATCTTTATCTTTATCCGTTTGCCAGGTTCAGCAAACGGATGCCTGCAATGGTAAACAGAAGTAAACCGAGAAAAAAAAAAGAAATGTGTGTGTGTGTACGACCTGTTCACAGGTTTACGGGCTGAGCCTGTCCATCATGTGATAAGGTGTCCAATCAGGGGACAGTTTAGACAGATGGAAAGCAATATTGACACAAGGCACCCGTATTCACACATGGTAACGGAGTTTCCCAGACGACGCTGAAGAACCCAACCTCACTGACACGGGTGCTCTGAAAAGAGGTTTTTCAAAAAAGTTTTGATACTACTGTTACATAACTGCCCTAGAAATATACACATCGCTGCAGGGTTCGTGTGTACATGCCTGCGCAGATACTGTATATTCTTCAGAAAGATTCAGACCGTTATTGAGCACGCACTCCAAGCCAACGCAGAGTTCGCACTCTGCGTTTTCCGTTATGGCCTCTATTACACCTCTGCAGCTGAGTGCACCGTTGCGCCTGACTGAAAGGGGACCGGAAATGATTTATCGTAGGAGATCATTAAGGTAAAGAGGTTGAGATTAAAGGGCAGTGGAGGTTACGGTGATTCCGTAGCAGCTGTTAAAGTCCACGGCATTAATGTAGCTGCAGTGATAACTTTCGATTAAAAGCGACCGGCGGCGTTCCTGTCACCCGAACCTCCTTCGTCCTAATCTCTGCATCTCGATATCTACTCGAGGAATCTAAATCCTACGCCAGTGAATAACCATGTGCTTTATCTCGTATTGATTTTTTCTTCTCCTTATCTCACGCAGACTGCGGGGCACACAAATTGAGTGGAAAATGGAGATTGTTTCTTTTTCTTTCCGTATCCTGAAGAGACCGTAACCTTCGCGCAACGCACATTTGGAACACGTATTAAGACGTGATATGATAGGCGCCACGATCTATAGTCGCTTTTGTTGCGAAGCACCATCTTGTCAGATCTATTGAGCGTATCATTACTGCTGTTCCTTTCAATTGCACTGGCAGGGTTCCTCTTAATTTGTAACACATTTGCACCTGAGGGCATCTTTCCATCCGTCCCAGCGTCAGGCACGTCCCTTATTTGATGAACAAAATACCACAGCAGCATCCATCCAGTGACGCTCGCAAAGCAGAGAGTTAATAAACCCAAACCCAAATTATTCTTACGCAGACGCGTGTCACCACCTCAGGGAGGCAGAGCATCACAGATGACATTGGCAGGAGTGTTAAAGTCCTATTTTTTGATTTTTATTTTTATGTGTGTTTGGTCCTCATGCCTTTTTGATTCTTGAGTGTTTGATTCTTGCTGTATATGTGTTTGAGTCTTATCTGTGTTTTAGTCATATACTGTATGTGGTTCAGTCATATATGTGTCTTAAGTCTTATATGTGTTTGAGTCTTATCTGTGTTTCAGTCATATACTGTGTGTGTTTGAGTCATGTATGTGTTTAAGACTTATATGTGTTTGAGTCTTATATGTGTTTGAGTCTTATCTGTGTTTCAGTCTTATCTGTGTTTCAGTCTTATCTGTGTTTCAGTCTTATCTGTGTTTCAGTCTTATCTGTGTTTCAGTCTTATCTGTGTTTCAGTCATATACTGTGTGTGTTTGAGTCATGTATGTGTTTAAGACTTATATGTGTTTGAGTCATATGTGGTTGAGTCATATATTTGTTTGAGTCATATATGTATTTGAGTCTTAGATATGTGTTTGAGTCTTATCTGTGTTTCAGTCTTATCTGTGTTTTAGTCAGATACTGTATGTGTTTGAGTCATATGTGGTTGAGTCATATATGTGTTTAGGTCTTATATGTGTCTGAGTCTTGCATATGTTTGAGTCTTATATGTGTTTGAGTCATGTATGTGTTTAAGACTTATATGTGTTTGAGTCTTAGATATGTGTTTGAGTCTTATCTGTGTTTCAGTCATATACTGTATGTGTTTGAGTCATGTATGTGTTTAAGTCTTATATGTGTTTGAGTCTTGTGTCTTCATTCAATAATTCAATTAATTATTGAAGCCAACTTAATGTAAAGACATTTTCTTAATCTAAAAATCAAGCAAATATATTACACATAGTAAGAATATCAACTGAAGACAAAAAAGAGAAACTAGCTCCTGACCAATCAAAAACAAGGGATATATAT